ATAGGTAGCTCCGAAGACAGAAACCTGGTGAAGCCGGCGATCAGGAAAGCCACGTTAATATTCTCTACGAGCCCCAGCGGCATTGCCGTCAGCAAAACCATAACAGTACATGATTAAGGCATATTTTTTATTAGGATATGACGCCATTTTAACTTCGACGCACAAAAACAATAACAATGAACAATCATTAACAGACAACGGAAATGCAATAATAACGATAACGACTGAAAAAGATAACAAATGAATTAAAGAGATGAGAGTTTATTAGAAGGAAGTTTTTAAACACAGCGATCGCGCAGGGATAGTCGAAACTAACTAACGACCTAACGAGTAACGAGCGTCGCTACTCGTTACGAACAAAGAAAATATACACTACGCGAACTACGACTCAATTTAAAATGGCCGTCTGCTTTCTGAATAGTCCCAATTAGACGCCTCATCTGAGCTACCATGGCTCCCGCCATGTACCAGGCATTAATTATGGCGCGCAACACTGCCCCCTCCTAAGACATGACATCTGAGCTACCATGGCTCCCGCCATGTACCAGGCATTAATTATGGCGCGCAACACTGCCCCCTCTTAAGACATGTTCGTCCCGAGCATTATCGGCCCAATAGTAACGCGACAGTCGATCCACATGGACGATCTTAGGAGTACCTCTTGCAACTTTCTGTATCCGGTACGTTATGTCATTGATCCTGGTCACAACCCGGTACGGTCGGTCCCATTTAGCTTGAAGCTTAGGAGATTTTCCTTTGCTGCGGACTGGATTGTGCAACCACACTAGTGAACCTTCGTCGAACACTTTGTTGTTCATTTTGCGGTCATACCGGGTTTTCAACTTTTCAGACATTTGCTGACCTGATTGTCTGGCGTGCTCATAAATGTTATTCATTTTGTCCCGCAAGTCATTCGCATGATCGGTTATACTGCGTGGGGCATCAGGTCTGCGGGCAGCCGTAATTCTCTTCCAAAGTTTGCGAAAGCTGGTGACACTGATGTACTTTCGTGAACAGCGCTTCGATATGACAACAAAAACGGTTGTATGTGTCTGTCCCAATCTCTTTGCCGATTTTCTACAACTTTTGCTAGGTACCTCTCCAATGTCTGATAAAATCGTTCTATTTCATGAGATTGCAGGTGGTAAGAAGTTATTCTTGTTTTATGAGTTTATAACTCGGCAAGTTTTATGGAATATTTGAGACTCAAAATTCCTTCCTTGAACGCTGTGAATCTCCAAAGGTACTCCAAAACGACAGAAGACTTCATGAACTAGTTTATCTGCAACTGTTGAAGCTTCTTGATTTGGAATGGCGAAGACTTCTGGCCACTTAGTGAAGTAATTCATCACAACCATTAAACATTTGTTACCACTTTCACTTTCCGGAAACGGCCCGCAACGTCAAGGGCTATCCTCTCCCATGGTGCACCAACATTGTACAATTTCAAAGCACCTCTACTACGAGTCTGAGGTCCCTTCACAGCCGCATAACTTGTACATTTGCGACACCAACCCTCAACATCGTCACGACAATGGACCCAGTAAAACCGTTCTCGGATCTTCAGTTCGTTTAATTCCCAGACGGCCTCCTGAACAACCATTATGGTACAGCTGTAGAACATCCTGTACTTTAGCTTTAGGGACAACCATTTGTAAATGACAGCTGTCTCCCCGACCATTTTCCCATTTATGGCAAAGAACTCCATTCTTAATCAGCAAGTTGTCCCATTGGACCCAATAGCTTTTCGTGGTCAAACTCATCGCTGAGACATCGCTCCACTCGGGCTTGGGAGCACTGGCCTTCATCCATTCTAGAATCGGCTTGTTATCCGAACCTTCCTGCTGTGCATGTTATCTTCCACTTGCTGCTGAGGTGGTCTGTCCTGAGCATCCTCACAGATACAACTTCCTTACCCTCTTGCCTAGTACAATGCTGGCACTCTTGAGGACAAGTTTTTCTTGACAATGCGTTGTCATGAGATTTCCCTGTACGATCTTCGATCACAAAGTCGAATTCCTGCTGCTGCTGAGTGGTGCTGTTCGCAGTACAACCCTCTCGAGATCGATCCCTTCCTTTTTTACAGTTCGCTTAAGGCAGCAGGATCAAAGATGGCCCCTCACAGCCGTAGCACCTAGGACTGTATTTCTTATTGCGGTCGCGAACTGTAGCTGCTGCAACCTCCCTAGCGCGATGAAAACGATGATCCTGCCGCAGGGATTCCACCTCCAGTGCATGGGCCAAGTCGTCATTAAGCGTCTCGTGGTGCACGAGCCTTACAGCAGCTCTGACTTCAATGTTAGTTTCAATGAAAGTTTGCACCTGGTTCCGTTCAATGAGCGCAGGTACAGACCAGTATGCTTTTCGAACCAGCTTCTCCACCTCAAGGGTTGGTTCGAACCAGCTTCTTCACCCACTGCTGTAGGTTTTCGTTGATGCGTTGTGCGCGATATTTAAACCGACCCGTTCCAAATGAGCGTTACCAAATCTTGCCTCTAATGCCTCAAGGAGCTGCTCGTAAGTTACTTCCTTACCAAGAGCTTCTAGAGCAGTTAAGGCCTGGTCGCGCAGGCCTAGTGTGAGAGCAGTCATTGTCTGACTTTTATTCCAGCCGTTCGCCTTCATAACAGCTTCGAACTGGATTTTTTAGGCCGACCAGGAAGATGTCCCATCGAACGGCGGCACTTTGAATCCACGTAGCGAAGGTGTTGTAGCTATATTCAATACTCCCCGGGTTGCGGTCAGTAACAGTTTTATATATAGGACCCGTTTCTAATGAAAACATCTAGAATATTTGAGTAGAATGCTAAAGTTCAGCAAGGAATTTTCTATAAAGCTCTCCTATTCCTGCTGCTGCCTCCATACACCGTGAGTAGAGCGGCTCAGTTTGTGCTCAGCTCGTGCTCGGCTCCTATAGCGTAGACCCACCTTTAGACATGTGTCAAACATTCATTTCTTATGACCGAATCATACTAGTACATTTCCTCACGCGTACAGGTACATTCGGATCGATCATTCAAATGGGCTCCAGTACTCTTTAAGTCTGTGAGATCCATTGGGAACCGAAAATTTGCTTTTTGACTTTATAATAACGCCTTCTACTACATGTTATAGGTAATATGGTCATTTTATCGAACAAAAATTAATTGACTTTCAAGGTGGTAAGTACAATAGACGTTAGATGGCATAAATACAAAAACAACATAAATCGGTCGGTATATTATGAATGGAATGGACAAACATGATAACTTTAGTCAATATTATTATATATTTTGTTTATTTAATAAATTTGTTTATTTTTAAATATTTTTAAATATCGGGATATTGATTTAGCTCTTAGTCTCCGAAAATTTAGGCGAAAAATCCGGTCTTATTTGTTTTCCAAAAACAAAAATAAATAGATAATCATAACATTGAAAATTATAATATCCATATTTAATTAACCCATAATTATTTTCTATCGAAGCTGCTAGAGCAGCTAGATTGTCGTTCCCTTTACTCACAATTTTCCTTTTTTTTCCTTAAGCTTTTTTGTATTTTAGTTGTCTACTTACTTCTTGTTACTTTTTACCAAACTATGGTCACCTATCATTGCAAACCACCTCAGAGTCAGCCGCAGGCTTCAATGTGAGTGATAAAACAATTTTAATTTACTTGAAACAAATTGAAAAAGTGAAACTCAAAAAATAGGTACCGCATTAACTGAGTGAAGCACACCAACAAACACGCGTCGAGTGCTGCGTTACATTACTTAATCATCACAATAACAAGGGGATTTTGATTCGTATTGCTCTATCGACGATTCGATAAAAATGGATTTTGTTTTGTGACCTAGGAGAACCGGCCAAATCCTACCCCAAGCGAAAACTGACCCAGAAAAAGGTAAATTCCCATAAGGCAGTCAAACCGCCTTCAAAGATCTTATTGGCTCTTGCTCCTAGTGGGGATAAGCGGTCTACTATTAAAAGACTCCGAGTGGTCTAGTGGCGGAGAAATGAAACTACTATTTATGTGCAAACGACTGATGTATCAATTATTGAATATGGAATACGGAATATGGAATATGGAATGAATTTTACGTCGACCCAGCCTATATTTATATGTCCGGCTACGTCGTTAGTTAACCAATAGTAACAATTTTTATTTGCCTAGCCAATTACGGTACCATACATTATGACCAATAAAGATTATTTAAAATGCAACTATTATGTACGTTCCATTTACGCGCGCGTACGGCGGCGTGGGACACAGCTCCGGAACAGCAAGAAGAAGCGAGCTGCGGCGTTGAAGAAACGGCTTCAAAATGGTCGACGGATACATAACGATAGTGGCGTGTGAAGACGATGTGGCGCTGAATGATATTTGCGGCTGTTTCTTTATTAGAACGTTAAATATATACGTCAAATTATCTCGCATCAATATGCAGCCCGCAGTATCTCAGTAGCCGGGGATAGTTAGGAAATAAATGTTTTCTTCGCCTTCTGTGTTATGGTAGCAGCAGGGTATATATTATTTATTGCCGATTAGCCTGGCTGCTACACTCCCAAAATTTTTTCAGCAAAAGAATCCGTTTAAAATCCGTTTAATCCGTTTTTTCCGTTAACTACCGTTAACATGGCGAAAGTGCACAGATAACAATGGTACATACTTTGATTGATTTAATATATAATTTCACACATTTTTTTCTTTTTGTTTTTTTCTATTTTGAAACACCAATTTCGTATGAAAGGACCTAATATTTCCTGTGCAGTTGGAGATTTACTGGAAGCTGCTATTTTTGTTGCAATTCAGTAATGAGATAACATTCTAACAGTGAAACAGGATACAATAAAAAAAAAACAGATATTCATTAACGTTTATTTCAAATAGATGTCAGTTGCAACTACTTTATTCCATAAAAAGTTACTTATATAGGTATTGTTGATTTGAATATTATTGAGAAGTATGAAACGATTTGAGTATAATTTAAAAAGTTATTATTATATTTTTAAATTACATTTTTAAAAATCATTTGGAGTTTGGGGAGGTGCTTTCATACCGAAATCTTGCAATGGAAACTCTTCCCACAATTGATACTTTTCGTCTTCACAAACTCTTTTAATAGCACATGCGACAAATACTTCAAAAAATTCTAGAAACGTAATTTCAATGTCTAGATCCAAAATATTGTTGCCCTCAATGATTTGGGGAAATATTGATGAAAATATTGTGATAATGGACTTGCTGGAAAGATCCGTAAAACTGAATAACTTTAGTTTTTTATATTTTTCAACTTTACTTTTCCGTTTTGCGCTTATGTCACAAGAATCTGGAAACAAATATAAGAGAGCGAAAGTATTAGGTACATGCTATGCGGTTTGGTCAAGCAACTATATCGCGGTTTGGGGCTTTGAAGCATTCAAGCTCGGAAACAGTAAAAAAATGATTAGGGTATCGGGACTAAAAATATATTAATTACCTTCGTAATAACTTTGTTAGCTTGTAACATATTATATATAAATGGCATAATATATTCACGATGAGATATAAGCTCCATCTTAAATACAACAGTCAAAAGTAATTGTTGAAATATTTGTAGCAATTCCTCAAGAAATGCCACAAAGCACGGTCCGGAGCCACCTAGTCGCTACATCTAGAGGTGAATCTCTCGGTAGAAGTTTTACTACTCAAAGAAGTCAACTACTTCAAGCATAGTGCTCTCAATAACTACCGTCATAAGTGTAATATGGATCGGCATAGTTGTGTTGTCCATGTTTATCTGTTTTTTTGAGTGACAAACGAGCACACAGTCCAGCCGATGGTAAGTGGATGCTGTAGCGCATAAACAACTACATCTGTCCTTGATTAATAACCAAAATGCAGATACGTTGCCTACCCATGAGGACTATGATGGAATGCCTCGTTTCCAGTAAAAAAGGTATACGGTTCTCTTACACTCATCATCCGAAACACAGCAGCATTGTACTGTTATTATACGCTGGGTCCTCCCCCCAGTCAACCAAGCTGGTTAATAAATGTTGGTTCTCAGCACGTCCGTCAGCGGCGCTGCTTAAGGAGTCCATCTTAAGATAAGGTTTCGTACTCAGATTCTGTATTCTGATGGCCATCGTAGCCCTATTGTGGAAGCACATCAGCACTTCAATATATCGACAGCATCATTGAAGGGACTGCAGCGCCCCCCAAATTTCGACGGTACTTGGATGTGTTTGTCATAGATACAACGTATCTAAAGGTTTTTGGAAAGCGGCTTTTTCAGGAATCTAAAAGTCGTCAAGTCTGCACACGTGAAAATTCGTAATGACTCTCGAAAACAACTAGATAGGCTCAGAAAAGAAATCAATGAAGTTCTTCAAAAAAAAAAAAACTGCACTTCTGCTCCAAGCCTCCGGAGTAGTGCTACTATGAAGGACGGCGTTAAAAAGTTTTCCACCTGCTTTCAGAAACTCTGCTGTAATTCTATTCTCGTCGTTTATTAAGATCTTGCCGGTTTTAAGTTGCTGGAAAGTCCTTATCTCGCTCAAATTGATGTCCGAAATATAATCACAATAGCGTCGGATTACACTTTATAATGTATTACGTATGGCTCCAATGATAATGTGAACATCTTTCATATAACTCTGAATCTCACTAAAAATCTGAGGAAACAGTTGGCTCTTTTCGATAGACAGATCTCCGGCACGACTTTGGGAACTTGAGTTCCATTCTATCGCTTCTTCAATACGGGCTGTACTAAAGTTGCGCAAGTCTTGCCACATACACGTAGAAATCTGTCTGTTCAGTTGCCTGTATGCCGTTATATCTTCATTGCAAATTCATTTACCTTCTAAGAACCATGAGAATAAGACCGGATTTAGAGACAATTTTAAGTTTAAATTCAAACCTCACAATGTCAAAATTTGAGAGTGGCTTAGGGTAGTTCATAGTTTGTCTTGTTCGTTCCATAGTTGCCACGCTTATCAGGTCGATTGGCAGCCGCAGTTTTTTATTATTTAGATGTTAGCAAAAATGTACTGCTGCCCACCTCCTGGTTTAGTTTTCAATGTTGACTCTAATGACACCTACGGGAAGATGTAGGATCTCCTAGGTGTGCGTTGTTTGTAGTTAGCAGTGGCTGCATACAACCGCCGGTACGACATACTCCGCCGATCGTCGAGTCCCCGGATTCCGTGAGGCGTCGAGGTCACCGGCCCCTAGGTAGATTCTTAGGTGCTCTAAAACGTTCGTATTTTTTAGTGCCTAGTCGCGTGTTTAGAGTGCCACCACCGCACTTCCCCAACCCTTTTGTTGCAAAAGGGGTAGGCAGTGCCCCAAGTGTGGATAGCCACTTTTTATTATTACCACCATCCGCGTCGCGCATCATCGACCGGCTGGTATATAGATAGGGCCCTTGATTACCACTGACTGTTAGGGTAGGTTAGGACATGTCAGGTAGGGATAAGGTGGAACCTCCCCCCACCGATAAGAAAACCACCGGACCGAAAAGGTGTGTTGAATCGACCACTGGTTGTAAGGGATCTGGCGAATCCGGAGCGCACGAGAATAGTGTCATCCTTCTCACAGATCCCTCAAAGAAAACCCGTCTCGCCGTGGAAAGAGCCTGCACAGGGCGTCGCGCTCACGCCGGCCGTGTCTGAGCACACGGTCAGAAAGGAACCGTCGCCACAGCAGCAGCGGGCAAAGAAAACGGCCAGACGCCATACGCCTCCAGAGACCGAAGCCTCTTTATACGAAAAGAGGCAACGAATCGGCTCCCAGCTATCTTCCGATGAACCAACATTCTCATCGGAAGAGGAAGATTATAAGAGGAAGCCACCAGAAGACGACGAAGAAGGTGCATAAATCACCGCCAAAGTCGCCCTCACCACCACAACCTCCCCGCTCAATATCACCGGATCGACGAAGCCATGACTCGGCCCAATATGAGCAGGGGGGCGAGGAATCCTATAACTGGGGGTCAACCACCTATGAGACCCTCGGAGCATCCGCCAGCTGAGCATCGCAGGTGGCAACAACCAATCCGTCCGGGCTCCCGCATGATGATGGCCAACGGCCATCTACCAGCTATGCCCATATGGTAGCAGCACCAGCAGTGCCAAGACCACAACCGGCGGCAGCGCCTGTAGATAAGCCTGCCGACCAGGATAAAACTAGATATCCACCCATAGTGGCAGAATGCCTCCCGGACTGGACGAGGCATTTTAAGGAGCTCAACAGAAAGTTGGGCCACCCTATAAATGCCCGTCCGTTCGGGAAGGGAGTACGTTTTACACCGCAAAGCGCAGAGGAGTTCAGAACCGTTCAACGGTATATGGTAGAACTCCCGAAAGAGACACCATCATTGTCGTGGTATTGCTATACCCCGGATACCAAAATCATAGAGGAGGCTATAAGGGCAAAGGGCTTCCCAATTAAGTACGTAAAGGCAATCCCACAACGTAGGGGCAGACCTGGCTGCCTCTACTTCGCCCAATTTGACCACCTGAGCCTGGAGCAGCTCCAGGACCTATACAAGGTCGACGAACTCCTCTACATGAGAGGGGTCGTCATCGAGGCCTGGCAGAGGAAGGCAGGACCAGCCCAATGCCACAGATGCCAGGCCTTCGGGCACGCCTCCACCAACTGCTTCAGGCCAGTGAAGTGTGTGCGCTGCGTCGGCGAGCATATAGCGAGCCTTTGCCCTCGGGGTAGAGATGAGGAACCCAAGTGTGCCAACCGTGGTAAAAACCACACGGCAAATGACCGCCGCTGCCCAGTCCTGAGGAGGACTGCTAGGAGGCAGGGACTGCTAGGGCACCATAACAGGGAAGGGCAGGCAACCAGCCCCCCCCCCCCCCACCCGTAACACCAATGGAAACGGTGGAACCCGCAGAGATAAGGGCAACCACCGGGGCGACTCTACAGCCCCCCGCCAACCCCGCCACAGAACGGCAACCCTCTACAAGGAGGAGGCGGGAGAGGAGCAGGAAGAAGTCGCAGCCTCCTCAGGCTGTTACCTCTACCCCGACACCAACAGGACCAGTAGCCTCACAGGCGCAGATTACTCAGGAGACAACCCAAAAGAGCGTGGGTAGAGCGCCAGAAAGGGCTCTATCTGAAAATAGAGCCCGCTCTACACATAGAGCGCGCTCTACCCATAAGCCAAGAGTGCAGGACAATCAACACCCGAGACCAGTGCCAACGCCTTCATATAGAAGACCACCTACTACCGGCTTCGAAACAGCAGATGCAATCCAACGACTGGTTGGCATTGTCATCGAGGTCGGCACACAAGTCCTGGCCGATATAAGAGCCGGGACCGACCCAGTAACCACGATAATGAAGGCGCTGGCAAACCTCCTGGCCCGGCATTACGGAGGAGAGTAATCTGCACCTCCTTTATTGGAACCCGGACGGGATACAGCAGAAGCTGCATGAACTCCGCGCAGTCGCCCAACACCAGGACTTACATGTCATATTGGTGGGAGAGACAAAGTTAAATCCAAAGACGCATATAAAGCTGCTAAACTACCATCTGTACGGTCACTGCTCAAGGGGCCGTCTACAGAGGGACGGCGGTTCTAGTGAGGAGGGACATCGTCCATCAAGAGCTGGACTTACCATCATACCAGACAATGCGCTTTATCGGCATAAGAATGGAGGCGGCGGGCGAGGAACTAAGGATCTACGCAGCATACCAGGGACTCCATTCTGCTCCTCAGACATCCGGACGGTGATGGAAGGCGAAATACCCACCATCATCGCCGGAGTCCTAAACGCCAAACACCCGGCGTGGGGTCCAGAGTGATCACCCCGCCGGGTCTTGAACTTTACGAAGACGCGGAACACAACAGCTATGACGTATTAGGTCCCGAAGAACCGACACACGTTCCACGGAGACATCCGGATGTATTGGACATCGTGCTCACTAGGAACGTCAACTACCCGATAGTGGTAGAAGTGCTGTACGACCTCAGCTCACAGCACCTCCCGATTCTGATAACCCTTGGCCTAAAGGCGGTGACAACGCCGCCCAGAGCATTCAAGACACGTATCGACTGGAGGCTCTATTGCCAACATCTGCAGGAGAGACCTCCAGTCCACCATCCCATAAGCGCAGCGGACGACGTAAAGGCCGCTGCTACTAGAATTACCAAGAACATCCAGGAGGCCCTCTACGCAGCCTTTACGATCGTCCCGATCACTGCAATGCGAGACGATCTGCCGCGAAAGATATGCGTGCAGATCAGGCGCAAGAGAGCGTTGAGGAAGCTCTGGGCGCGCACTCGCTGCCCTAGACTGAAAAAGCAACTTAACACCTTATCGGAGGAACTGTCGGTTGCAGTCCAGGCCTTCAGAGGAGAGGCCTGGGATCGGCGCATCTGGAAGGCGGATGAACATGATGCATCGCTCTATAAACTGAGCCGACAGTTGACCAAAACCAGACCTCCCGTTTGCCCGCTGACCAACAGCGCGGGTGAACGCTGCTACGATGCCAAGGGCAGAGCGGATATCCTAGTCGAGCACTTCGAGGAGCAATTTATGCCGAACCCAGCAAGTGCGGAGTTCATGGAGCTTCACGCCCGGAAGAAAAGTCGCATACGGGAGTTCTTGTCGTCGCCCGCGCCGCCTCTTGCAGGAGAGTGATTCATCTCCCCCGCTGAACTGCGGAGGACAGTAACCCGCCTGCAACCGAGGAAAGCACCGGGGCACGATGGGATTACCAACGCTGCACTCCGACAGCTGCCCAATAGAGTCCTAGTAGAGCTTCCCGGAGGACTGGAAGAAAGGCAAAGTTATCGTCTTGCCGAAACCTGGGAAGGACAGGCATAGAGTTGCCAGCTACAGACAGATCACGCTATTAACGCACATAACTAAACTGCTAGAAAGATTGCTGCTAAGACGTCTCCGTCCGTGCATCCAACTTCGGGCGGAGCAGCACGGATTCAGGAGGGGTCACTCTACAGTCACACAGTTGACTAGAGTGCTGCACCTGCTTGCGGCAGAGTACAATCGTGGCCGCATATCGTTGGGCGTCTTTCTCGACACCGAGAAGGCGTTCGACAGGGTGTGGCATTCAGGATTGCTTTATAAGCTGTACGAACAGACCAGTGTCCCTCTTGCTATGTTGCGGCTAGTGGCGTCTTTCCTGGAAGACAGGAAGTTCTACGTCTGCGTAGAGGACGCCGAGTCCGCAACCAGATCCATCAGAGCCGGCGTTCCACAGGGCAGCTATTTGCCTCCAGTCCTATACGCGGTTTATACTAACGACATCCCAACACTGGCAGGCAGGCTTCAAGAGTGGGAGGACGACGTTGAGCTGGCGCTATATGCGGACGATAGCGCCTATTTCACCTCGTCCAGAAGAGCCCACATAGCCACTGCCAGAATGCAGCGTCTGCTTGCCACCATGGCTGGACGAGTGGAGGATGGTCGTCAACGTTGGTAAGACGACCGCTCTGCTCACTCGCCGTCTCAGGAAATTTCCACCTCCGCTGACCCTCAATGGCCAGGAGATTGCGTACCAGAAGGCCATAACCTACCTTGGGTGCAGGATCGACTGGACGCTGCGCATGACCGCGCACATCGACTTCGTCGTCCGCAGAGCTCGATGTGCGCGGGCGACGCTCTTGCCGGTCCTGGCATCCAAGTTGCCGAACAAGACCAAGCTCCGGATATACAAGATGTATATCCGAACCATTATCACCTACGCTGCTCCGCTCCTGGTACGCGCTTCTGAGCGACCCTCTGAGGCGGCGACTGCAGGCCCAGCAGAATCTGACATTAAGGACGATCGTCGGAGCAGGTCGCTACGTCCGGAATGACGTAATAGCGGCCGATCTGAAAGTCGAGACCATCACCGACTTCGTGGCCCGGCTGGCGCGCGGCATGTTTGACCGCGCCGACAACGGGCCACATGAACACCGTTCAACGGCTTCACGCCGTTGCACACCCGGCCCCCGGACGGGCGACCTTTTCCAAGAGAACTCCTCTCTATAACGATTAGAGAGTCGAGTAACAACCCTCAATGCCGCTGATACGCCAACTTCGAATTTACTGGACAACCTCTTTTTTCCCGTAGTTTAACCGACTACGGGAAAAAATCTTTTCTTACTATGGAACATCCGTACTGGATTACCTAGCCTGTTAAAGGCTCCTAGGACTGGCCCATAGTGGTGGGCCATGAGGAAAGTCCGGGCAATGGGGTCATACCCCGAGGCCTGAGACCTACAGGACCCCACAGTCCATGCAGACGACAACACGAGGGAAGATGTGGAGTAAGGGATATTTTTACACCGCTTAACGGTATATTCATGCGATAATGTATTCAAATGGTAAATTGTTAATCTGAGTAAACAGTATTTTCATTTTGAAATTTTAATCGGCCCAAAGTAGTTTCTTTATATATTCATTCCAAATTATGGAGAAAATCAAAAGGAATTGATCGTTATTTTCAGGCTTAAATAGTAGGTAAGTATACTGCAAAACAGCTCTTTGTTTACTCACCTAAAACATACATTATTTCGTCTCCAAAAATATTAACATTGCGTCCAAGGGGAAGATGATCAGATGTTTCCTCGAGAGGTAGTTGAGAATATTCTTCTTCATGAGGTGATAGACGCACTGCACGTAGGAAAGTTAATAAAGTGTGTGGTTCTCCCAAACTTAGATATAAATTGTAAAGACTCTTTAAAGGAATAAATTTGCAGAAACCGTTGATAAGCAGCCCTAAAATGGAAAAAAATAGTTTAGTTAAGATAAAAATCTCATCGTAACATTATCCTATAATATATTTGTTGGAACTTTATTACAAGATGCCACTTTTGATGACGGAAATACAACATTGTCGGAAATACATCATGAAAAGTTAATTGATAAACCAGAACTGAAACACTTCACATTTCAGTGAACATAGAGCAACCTCTCAGTAACACCATCTTTCTCGCATGCTCCATAAGAACCACCACAACGGACAGAACAACGATGCGCAAGAGTCCGCCTACATTATTCTACGTAGTAGTAGTCCTAAGATAGACTACTACTACGTAGAATAATGTAGGCGGACTCTCCCGCGCACGGCGCCTACAGTGAACTTTATACTGCATAATCGAGTGGGGGTTTCTCGATATATCTTTAATCGTCCCCCCCTCCCACCACCACCACCATCGATATGACACTCCGCTGGTGTGACGCAACCTCTTGCTCACTCTCGATCCAACCGGTATTTTATAGATGCGCCGACATATTTATTTCTATATTTACCACGTTCGGTTGGATACTTCTTGCAAACAACAATACCATTGTTTTTTCAATTACCGTTCTTTTAATTATCCATGTTTTCGTTTATCCAAAAGACTAATCTTAAGTAAATGTAGTGAAAAATAAAATTGTTTCTTAAATGCTAAATGCACACTACTAAGCAAATTAAAAATTTTAGGTAATTTTAACGACAAAGAAAATATATTGGATTGAAAAATTTACCTCTCTGTTGCTTCGCTCCAGGCAATATATCCTTTTCCATGAATGCTCTGAATGCGTTTGCCAATATTGTGTCGGGTTTTGCACCCGGTAATTGTTTTTTAGCGTATAATTTACTGGCAATAGATAACAAACTGTGAAGAAATTGCCAAAAGAATATTGGCTCGAATGGGTCGTGTGGAGAACGCGCTAGCCATTTTGGGTTTTGGCAAAATATATTATCAATTTCCACTAACGTAAGTCCTTTTTCATGAATGCCACAATCATAATATATTTGCCATAAGTAAAGGCGCATCAACACTGGAGTAAATGTTATTTTATTTGTGTTGCATATTGTACAATATTTGTAATAAATTATTTTTAAATCAGTTTCATAATATTGCAATGACTTTCGTAACGACCTTAACTCAAAATTAATCAAATCACTGGAAATATGATGCCTTGATATCTCTTTACCATCCATACCATCGTTTTGTTGTTGTTTTTCTATATCTTTAATAGCCTGTTCAATATGATAACAAAGATCCACGGAGTTACTACTTATGTCAAATTTATAGAGTCCTTGAAGGTGTTCGCGTTTCCAGTTATGATTATCTTCAGGTACAGACGCACTAAGGTTATCATCTTGAAACAATTGTTTGTTTCGTAAGATAAAACCATTATTGGAAACTAACATCCCTTTCCCATGTTTCTGATTACAGACAAACTCTCCGGCGTAATGCGCTCCAAAATCATAGCCAAAATTTAACATGCCACATCCGTGACGTTGCCCTTTCATCCACTGACCACGATATAAAATCATTGATGGTTGTGATAAGGAATCATTATAGAAAGCATCCCAAATGTACGTTCCATAACCGGATATAACTCCATTTTTCCACTCTCCCCTGTAAAACTATAATTTTTCTTATTATTGTAAAATCATAATCATAAACACTCACGCCTGTCACCCAGAGAGATAGACAGAAACTACGGACTTCCGCTTGGCATGATCCTGGCACACCTCTTTCGCCTCCTTTACGTTCATATATCTACGCATACACGCTCGTCGGTTAAGGGTACTCCTAATGTGGCCATTTTCAAAATATCGCCAATATGGTCGACGAACCTATTCTAGGGCGGCCCTTCTTGACTCTGCCGTTCACATCTGCACTATAAATTTGCTTTATCACTCTTTCCTCGTTCACTCTTCTACATGAGCAAGCCACCGAAGCATTCCTTTCTTAATCCTGGTCACAACATCATCTTGCACACCACATTTTTTCAGATTCAGCTCTAGCATACTCCTTAAAAACCGCATTTCTACAACATTTATTCTACTTTTGTGCTTCTTCTGCCACACCCAAACTACATCATTCACTACCATACATTAAAGTAAGGATTAACACAGCATTATGAATTACCATACGTGCCTTTTTGATACATTCTGATTCTTCATAATAGAGTGTAGAGCCCCATTCACTCTATTTCATGCATTCACTCGTCTTTCTATATCCTTATCATATCTACCGTACCTGCTAAATACACATCCCAAATACTCGAACTCATCCGCTTGCTGAACCAACTCCCCTTCTATTCTTATTTGACATAACGTTTTACTTTCTTCTCTTTCGAAAACCATCACTTTCGTCTAATTGCGTTCACTTTCATTCCCCTTTCTTATAATGATCAGTTCATTAATGTAACCATTATTAGCAACTTGGCAGCCGACGACGCAAATATGACTTGATCATCGGCGTACAAAAGGCATTTGACGGTTAACTCGCCCATTCTTAACCCACATTCTTCATCTTTCAAAGTTCGCATACAAATGCCCATAAATAGTTTGAACAGCCACGAGGAAGCTACGCAGCCCTGTCACATTTTTGGATGCCAAACCAGTCTGAGTAGACTCCTTTGATTCTGAGACAAGCACTAGAGTCTCTATAAATAGATCTTAATGCCTGTATCAAACCAGCACTCAACCCAAATGAGTTCAGTGTTTGCCATAACACAGTCCTATCCACTATGTCATAAGCACAAAAAACTTTTTGGTTTTCGACAAAAACTTCTCCCCAACAATGTGCATGGAAAAGACTTGATCTGTACACCCCATTCCCTTTCTAAATCCCGCTTGCACATCCCAAATTTTTCCATCAGTTTCTTTCATAACTCTTTCAATTAACACCTTAGCATACAGTTTACCCACAATACTAAGCAAGCTGATACCACGGTAGTTTTTGCAGTCCTGCTGTGACCCTTTTTCTTTATATATTGGGACTATAACTGCTTTACACCAGTTTTTCGATACCCGCTTCAATTCTCAACATAAATTAAACAAGATGTACAGCAGGTCTGCCACCACTGCCTCTCCAGCCCTTAGTATCTCGAGTGATACTCTATCATATCCAGCTGCCTTACCTGCTTACATGCTTTTCATTGCTTTCATTATTTCATCTACACTTATCTTACTGCCCCTTTCGTCGCCGGTTTTACTCCCTTTTACTATTATTGTAATAATAATTCTTTTTTGACGGACCATTAATGATTTTAAAGTTATATTTTATTATAAAGGTTAATAAGCCATCATAAAACTTACATCATGATTCGGCCATATCATTAAGCCTTTCCCTTCTCGAGCGTATAGATCCCACTCTCCTTCATATCCACTAAGAGGACAGTATTCTCTTGATCCATATCCATGTCGTACATTCTAATACAAGATCAAGTGTTAAGTTATTTCTTTACCATTAAATGAGGACATAATTTTAATGGTGGTATATTTGCAAATTGTGAAGTACAAAAAGTAAAATAATTTCCACCTCTACCTATATAGTTATGACGTAAGAAAAGTATTTAAAAAAGGCAAAGGTTAATTTTTTTACAAATGAGGTGTTATTAAGGCTACTCTGCAGTGTTTTTTTAACCGACTTCAAAAAGGAGGAGGTACTCAATTCAAATGTATGTTTTTTTAACTTCTCGCTATGAAAATCGATGAATAAAAAAATGGGAATGTTATTGTTTTCACCCCAGTTATTGAAAATGGCGTGCGCGAGCGTGTACGAGCACGCGCACGCTGTGTGTGTGTGTGTGTGTGTGTGTGTGTGTGTGTATGTAAACTTGTAAACATCTCATAACTTTGTAAAGGAGTATCCGATCAAAAAAGCGGTTTTCATAATCTCAAAGGGTCTGCTTGCCTGCTGAGATTTCCTCTGAATTTAGACCACGGTTGATCTGAGAAAACCTCAAAAATTCAAGTATTATTAATTTTTAAAAAGTAGTTTTCTTGGAACTACTCCCTTGTTTTGATCAACTCTATAATCTAATTAGTTCTTCTAGTCAAAAAACGACGTCAATTGCCGTGAACCGCATCAAAATCGGTTGATTCTTCGGTTGGATCGGTTGATCGGTTGAACTTGAAAACTTTCCGTGACATATATTTTTTTGTAAAACGCTTATTTGTTAGTCTGAAAAAATTGCTTCGATAGCCATAAATCACATCAAAATCGGTTGATTGGTTCGTGTAATATTCAATTTTGCAAAAAATAAATAAAAGCATGGTTTTCCTAAATTATGACGTTTTAGAGCTGAAGCTGAGCGAAGTGTATCTAGAATAATTCTAGAATAGCTACAACTTTTTCTTTTTATAGTAATGTAAACTATGCCATCGTCTCTAAATATCCCGCAGGGCTCTAAAACCGAGGGAACATTTATAGACAAGAGCCTTTCAGATGACTTCGTTCAAAGAACTGTGATGCGAAAACCTACCTGCACTTTTCTTACATGAACTCATCGACGCACAGGGGCACTGGTGAGGTTGACAATATGCTGCTCCTAGACGTATTCTTACGGCGATGCGCATGCTTTCCCCATCAAGCAATAACAATTCATATTAAATTATGACTAATAACTAACAATTCATATTAAATTACGACGTTTTTGAGCTCAAAACTTTTTCGAAAAGTTTCGTAATGGAGGGGTTAGAGTCCCCTCTCTAATGGGATTTTTCTAACCGTTACTACTTGATGATTCAATGCAACTATAAATACTAAGTTTCAGCAGGATCGGTTCATTAGCCTTTGATATATAAAGAAGTCAATCGGGAAGTGAACACTAACCATGGAGAGAATTGAGTTTCTTGCCGTAATTAAGTTCCTTACTAGGCAAGGAAAAACGCCACATATCATTATGGAAGAGATATCATATGTGTCTAACAGGGACTCTCGCCCTGGAAAAGGATTAAGTGGCATAGACTTTTCAAGTAAGACAGAGACTCAATTGAAGACGGTCGGCGCTCAGGCTGACTGATTGAGGCAATTTCCTCAGACATTGTCGAAAAAGTTGAATAACTTGTTTTTGAAGATGCATGTCTGAGGAAAAAACAGATCGCAGAAATGACTGGAGTATCATTTACGACCGTTTCAAACATTCTCTATGGCCATTTTGACATGTCTCGGGTTAGTGCAAGATTGATGCCAAGAATGCTCACACCGCTTCAGACACAGCAGCGGTTCGAATGTTCGCGCGAATTTTTGGACCTTTGTAGTGAGAACAAGTCCATGCAGTAACATAAAAAAGGGTAACTGTCAAGTGAAATGGAAAATTACTTTCTGTTCTGGGCAGTTAAAAAAACTGAATACACATAATAACATACATATATTAATATAACAAGGAGTGGCAAATATTGAAAGTAAGTAATTGTGGATTTTGCAATATTATTAGTGCAAGGAGTGGAAAACTGATGATTGAACTAAATCTACACTATGGCGGTTAAGAATATCTTCCCGTGTGTGTCGGAGTGAGATGGGCAGCAGCATCTTTCTGATAACAGCAATTGTACAGCAAAAAAACTGCAGTTGCCAACCCGCTCGCCAAGCGTGGCAACTATGGTAATATACCCCCCATGAGCAACGACACAAATAATCGGCCCCCAGTTCCCGGCGCGGCAGCCCCGCTATTCCTGGCTACGGTGGCAACCATGGTAGCGGCAGGGCAGGGAGTCCTAAGAATCCCCGGTGGAGGTTCGGTTGCCACCACACACACACCACACACGAGTCGACCTGGTAACATTCAACGCACGCACGCTGGAATATTATAGGATTATCCGAGGTTCGAAGAGAGGGAAGAACCGAGAATCACCGTTCTAGAATCCGGCAACTTGTTCTATCACCGGGAGAGCGACCATCTGTCCCAACGAGGTGTTGGATTTATCGTCCACAAGTCTCTCGTTAACAACGTTGTAAAGATTGGGAGTGTGTCGACAAGGGTTGCGTACCTTATACTCAGAATCACCAAAAGGTCGTACAGGTTTACGCACCAACCTCGGCATACCCGATGAGGAGGTGGAAGAAATGTATAAGGATATTTATAGAGCCATTCATTCCTCCAAGACCCACTATACGCTGTTGATGGGAGACTTCAACGCAAAACTAGGCACAAGAAAGAACGGTGAGCTGAAAGTAGGGAAATTTGAGATAGGGCAACGGAAACCAAGGGGCTAGCAGCTGGACGCCTTCATGGAGAAAGAGGGACTCTTTATGATGAACTCTTTCTTTCAGAAGCGGTCCCACAGAAATTGGAGCTGGTCGAGCTCCGACGGTTCGACAAAAAATGAGATTGACTTCATTATGACGACTAGACGGCAACTGTTCAGTGTTGTCTCAGAGATCGCAAGAATGAAAACTGGCAGCGATCACTGAATGGTTAGAGGCACACTGAACCTTAACGTTTAGTTGGAGAGGTCTCGTCTAATGAAGTCAACGCTCCGTCTCCCTCGTGCTATAATCCAAAGTCCCGAAATATTTCAGCTCGAGTTACAAAACCCTTACAGTGCCTAGAAGACCGCAGTACTGTGGAGGATATAAATGACAAGCTCGTGAAAACTGTCAATGCGGTTGAAGCTAAGTTCTGTAAGACCCAACGCAGAAGAACATAAAAACTCTCCGATCACACTCTTTATCTCATGGCTGTTAGACGATAAATGAAGCTGCAGTCTTCAACAGATTTGACAGCATACAGGAAACTGAACAGACAGATCTTCAAATACATGCGGCGGGACTTACGCAACTTTGATACTGCTCGTATTGAAGAAACAATCTGAGTGTGGCAGCATCGTTTCCGGGACACTTGAGATTCTGAGGTTCTATGGGCAGCTGTACACATCATCGTTGTAGCCACACGCAAGTGTGAGCAACCATCCAAGAGCAAGTCTTATTCGACACTATTCCGATGATATCCCGGACGTCAGTCTGAGCAAGATTAGAATAGCTCTCCAGTGCCTTTTTAAACGGCAAGGCCCCAGGCGAGGATAGAAATACAGCGGAGCTTTTGAAAGCGGGTAGAAAACCAGTACCCAAAGTCCTTCAGAAGCTCTTCAATTCTGTGTACCGATAGATACTCCGCCGCTTACTAACTTAATAATTGCATCGGCATATCAGCCACTGTTAAAGCATATATTAGATGCCGACATATCGGCTTTACTAAATCTAGGCACTAGCGTATTAATCGCGAGAAACCTAAACAGCAAACACGTTTGTTGGAATATTAACGTTGACAAGCGAAATGGAAACATTTTATGTGACCTCACGGAGAGACTTAACTTCGACGTTATTTCTCCCGAGAGTCCAACCCACGACCCTTTCCGACCTGACCAACGTCCGGACGTCCTTGACCCAGCTTTACTCAAAGATATCCGGCTCACTATTAACTCGATAGAAACTTTTACCGAACTAGTCTCGGACCACAACCCGGTGGTTTTACAACTGGGCCGGTCGGCAGGTGAGGTCCCTCAGACCAAACCCATCGTCGACTGGCGTAAACTTGAGGTCAAACTCAAGTCTACGAATTCTTATACGAAAGTCTTCTAGCCGCCAGACTTGCCGGAGGAAGCCAATAGGGCGATTAGCGCCTAATCGACTCACCTCAATTCAGCGGTTGAAAAATGCTCGCGTAAGTTTCGTGTGTCGAGTGATCAATACGGGAAGCTTTCGGCAGATGTTCGACAACTGATTAGAGCGAAGAATTCGGCGATAAGATCTTATGACTGTTATCGCAGTTAAGATAATAACATTCGGGTACGATCTTTACAATACGAGATTAAACAACGAATAGCCGAATATAGAAATAACAACTGGGACAACCTCTTAGAAGGAATTGAACCATCTCAAGACGCTTTCTGGAATATAACGAGAACTCTAAAAACAGATAAATCATCTCTAATGGCGCCTCTCGTGAGGCTAGAGCTAGGCCACCCCGACCTCGCCTTAGACGATTCCGAAAAGGCCAAATGCCTAGCCTACGGTCTTGAGAGCCAGTGCACCTCATCCATCGTACTGACAGATCCCGCTCACCCATAGAGGTAAAAGCGGAAGTCGAATGTGCATTGCATTGCCACCCACTCGATCCTGTACCCGTAGATGAAGTCACAGAAACCATAAAAAGCATTAAGAATAGATCAGCCTCAGGGCTAGACGGCCTCAGCAACAAGGTGATCAAATCTCTTTCGGCACCATTTATTCACCTTCTCGTGGGAATCTTTAACGCGCTGTTTACAAGCTGCTACTTCCCGGATATCTGAAAAAAAAGCAGATGCAATAGGGATCCCAAAGCCCAGAAAACCGCGCAATCGACTCACTAGCTGCAGACTCATCAGTCTACTCAATACACTAGGTAAATTATACGAGTGCATTATTCTAAAGTGCCTCCGCCACTTCAATGTTATTAACAAACTTCTCCCCGACGAGCAATTTGGCTTTAAAGCCGAACACTCATGCACTCACTAAATCCATCGCCTAACAGAATATATTTTGTCTGGTTTCGATCACTATCCGACAAAAAGTCTGGAAACACGGGAGCTCTCTTCTTTGATGTCACAAAAGAATTTAATAAGGTCTGGCACGACGGCTTGCTTGACGAGCTGTATAAACTAAACGTGCCCGATAGGCTCATGCACATCATTCGAGCCTTCCTTACGGAACAAGGCTCCGTTCTATCTCCACTCCTCTTCACACTCTTCACGAGTGATTTTTGTTTTATTTATTTATTTGCTTTTTAAGGGAAACATACAGTACAATAAAAATGCATTATAAAACATATAAAAGTAATCCCAAAACCAATGAAGTTTCCACAGATATCTAATACATATTGTTACGCGCCTAAGTTAACGTCTGGTACGTGGCACTAGCGCCATCTAGTGTCCGGGACCACAGAGAGGAGGGCTTCCTAGAAAATGTCAATCTTCACCGTTCCACTAACATCGCCATCTAGTATCGAACAGAAGAATTAAGCTTTATAGAAGCCCTACACTCGAACTTTCTGCGCCTGGTCGTGCGGCGCCCGTATTTACTGGAATATTCTGGATGTTTCTGTAGAAAAGGTGTATTTAAAGCCGCTGCGACCCGCGATCGGGGCAGTATTGAATTTGGCGAGACAAGCGAAGCTTCGGAGCGAAATAAAGTGAATCAGTGTGATTAATTATTTGTGTTTTTTTAAAGTTTTAATTGGTGTTCGATAATAAAAGTGTAAATTTTGGTAATTCAATCGGCAGTTTTTATTGTCACGAACCTTAAGCTCGTAACAATTGGTGTCAGAAGTGGAATTCAATCATGCCGATTTTACCTAAGGGGGAAACGGAGGGTGTCCGTACCCGAAGTCAACGCCAGCAGGAGACGGACCAAAGAAGATTTGATGGTGCAACGCCACAGATGTCGGAGGGCCAGCCACCGGCTGCAGGCACGTCAGTAGCTCCTACATCTGCAGCACCTGACTTAGATGCTCTGATGGTGATGCTGCAAGACCAGGCCCGTTGGTTGAAAGAGCAGCAGGAGGAACAGGCCGCCGACAGGAGGAACAGGCCCGCCGACAGGAGGAACAGGTCCGTCGGTTGGAAGAGCAGCTGCAGCGCGGATAGGAGTAACAGTCCCGTCGGTTGGAAGATCAGCAGGCCGAACAGGCTCGTCGGTCGGAAGAGCAGATGCTCCTCATGACCTTCACGCTACCTTTGGGAAAGAGATAAGGTGAAAGATAGGGTTGCTCAACATGACAACCGCCTGTCGGAAGCTGAAACCCAAATCGAGGAAGCTAAAACACAATTCGACCAAGTCAACTTTTTGGGGTATGTAGTATCGGAAGAAGGTATCCGCACGGATCCGGAGAAAATCGCCGCTGTCAAGGATTGGCCGGTTCCAAAAGACAAGACGCAGGTTAGAGTATTTTTGGGTTTGTGCTCCTATTATCGGCGATTTGTGAAGAACTTTGCAGATATACCCAAACCTCTGCACAAGCTAACCGAGGAGAAGCGATATTTCTGCTGGGATGAAAGTTGCAATATCGCATTCCAGGAGCTCAAGGACCGTCTGTGCAAAACACCTATTTTGGGATACCCTGATGCAAGCAAAGAATTTATAGTTGACACAGATGCAGGTGATATAGGACTTAGCGGTGTGTTGTCTCAACGGAACGGTGATCGAGAGGTTGTGATAGCGTACTTCAGAAAGTCGTTGTCAAAACCGAAAAGGAACTATTGTGTCACAAGACGCGAATTGCTAGCTGTGGTAAAGTCGTTGCAACATTTTAGCAAATATCTTCTGGGGCGGAAATTTCACCTACGAACTGACCGTGCTGCACTAAAATGGCTATTGCAATTTAAAAATCCAGAAGGACAAGTTGCGAGGTGGATTGAACTACTCCAAGAATACGAACATCGCAGCGGGAAATCTCATGGCAACGCAGATGCGTTGTCACGAAGACCTTGTCCTGAAGATTGCAAACATTGTACTAAGCAAGAGAGTAAGGAAGTGGTATCCGTGAAGATGCTCAGGACAGACCACCTCAGCAACGAGTGGACAGATAGCTTACAACATGCACAGCAGGAAGATCCGGACATCAAGCCGATTCTGGAATGGATGAAGGCCAGTGCTCCCAAGCCCAAGTAGAGCGACGTCTCAGCGATGAGTTCGACTACTAAAAGCTATTGGACGCAATGGGACAGCTTGCTGCTTCAGGATGGAGTTCTGTGCCGTAAATGGGAAAATGTTCGGAGAGACAGCTGTCATTTGCAAATGGTTGTCCCTAAAGCTAAAGTACCGGATGTTCTACAGCTGTACCATAATGATTGTTCAGGAGGCCATCTGGGAGTTAAACGAACTCTACTGAAGATCCGAGAACGGTTTTACTGGGTCCACTGTCGAAACAATGTCGAGGACTGGTGTCCTCGACATTGTTTCGACAGTCTCCAAATGCACAAGTTGTGCGGCTGTTAAAGGACCTCAGACTCGTAGTGGAGGTGCATTGAAGTTGTACAATGTTGGTGCACTATGGGAGAGAATAGCCATTGACGTGGCGGGGCCGTTTCCGGAGAGTAAAAGCGGTAACAAGTATTTCATGGTTGTGATGGATTACTTCACTAAGTGGCCAAAAGTCTTCGCCATTCCAAATCAAGAAGCTTCAACAGTTGCAGACATACTAGTTCATGAAGTCTTCTGTCGTTTTGGAGTACCTTTAGAGATTCACAATCAAGGAAGGAATTTTGAGTCTCAAATATTCTAGGAAACTTTCCGAGTTATGGGTACTCATAAAACAAGAACGACTTCTTATCACCCGCAATCTGATGGAATGGTAGAACGATTTAATCAGACAGAGGTACTTAGCAAAAGTTGTAGACAATCGGCAACGAGATTGGGACAAGCACATACAACCGCTTTTGTTGTCATATCGAAGCGCTGTTCACGAAAGTAACTTTGGAAGAGAATTACGGCTGCCTGCAGACCTGATCACCGGGATACCACCTGATGCCCCACGCAGTATAACCGATTTTGCAAATGACTTGCGGAACAAAATGAATGACATTTATGAGCACGTCAGACAATCGGGCCGGCGAACGTCCGAAAAGATGAAAACCCGGTATGACCGCAAAATGAACAACAAAGGGTTTGACGAAGGTTCACTAGTGTGGTTGCACAATCCAGTCCGCAGCAAAGGAAAATCTCCTAAGCTTCAAGCTAAATGGGACGGCCGGACCCGATTATGACCAGGATTAACGATGTAACCTACCGGATACAGAAAGGCGCAAGAGGGACTCCTAAGATCGTTCATGTGGATCGACTGGCGCGTTATTATGGGGTCGATAATGCTCGGGACGAGTATGTCTTAGGAGGGGGCAGTGTTACGCGCCACAGTTGATGGTACTAGCGCTATCTAGTGTCGGGGACCAGAGCAAGGAGGGCTTCCTAGAAAATGTCAATCTTGACCTTTCTACCAACAGCGCCATCTAGTATCGAACAGAAGAATTAAGCTTTCTAGAAGCCCTAAACTCTCTCACTTTCTGCGCCTGGTCGTTCGGCGCCCGTATTTACTGGAATATTCTGGATGTTTCGGTAGAAAAGGTGTATTTAAAGCCGGTGCAACCCGCGATCGGGGCAGTATTGAATTTGGCGAGACAAGCGAAGCTTCGGAGCGAAATAAAGTGAATCAGTGTGATTAATTATTAGTGTTATTAGTATTAGTACCGAACACCGATTAAAACTTATTAATTATAAGTTTTAATTGGTGTTCGGTAATAGAAGTGTAAATTTTGGCAATTCAATCGGCAGTTTTTATTGTCACGAACCTCAAGCTCGTAACAATATTAAAAGCTTGCAACCACAATATGTTAATCGACGAATCCAACTCGGCAGGGCAGCGTTCGGTAAAAACAACCAGTGCGTGCTGCCAGTGATGACATGGATCTGAGTCGTGATCCTTCACTGCTGGCCGTATGAGGACGCTCAAGGTTGCTTAGCGAGCTATGAAGAGAGATATGATTGGGGTTTCTCTGCGTGTTAAACTTAGAAATGAGGATATCCACAGCAGAACCAGAGTGACCGACATAGCGCAACGGATAAGTAAGCAGAAATGGCAATGGGCCGGCCATATAGCTACAAGAACCGACAATCGATGAGTGGAAAAGGTTCTCGAGTGGTAGTCTCGTACCGGTAGACGTAGTGTAGGGCGACCCCCACTAGATGGAATGACGACCTGGTAAGACATGCAGGAAGTCGATGGATACAGGTCGCTCAGGACCGTGCTTTGTGGCATTCCTTGGGGAAAGCCTATGTTCAACAGTGGACTTGTGAAGGGCTGTAATGATAATGACGATGAAATGTATACAAAATCATAAATCACAAACGATGTGCGGGGTTGTCGAAAGAGTTAAGATCTGAACAGATGCCAAGCTCCTAATAGTTTTGAGAAAGTTAAATATTACGTAGATCCTATGTTTTAAGCACTGATTAGAAGTTTGTCGCCCGTCCAGATATCAACTATTATATCTTCCAAGCCGACAGCCTCGTATGTGACGAACTTGGTTTATTTTCACATCTATTTTTAGTGGGGCTTAACTTACATGAAGCCATTGGCCATCGTATGAATTTTTGAATGAATCAGAGTAGTATATGACTCCTTGTCCATGTTTCGTCCCGCTGTACCACTGTCCAATGTAAGAACGTTGCACGCGAGAATCAACATACAAGCCGTGTCCTTGACGCAGGTTTCCAACAAAATCGCCCTCATACCAAGTATCATCTTTCCATTTCATTAAACCCCTTCCATTAATCTCATTGTCTTTAAAGTGTCCCTGTTAAATGTATGTATATAGAGATCCCTCATTATGTTAATATTTGTGATTATGTTATTAGTTTTTGTTTTATACTATTTTTAGTTTTAGTTATTTTTAGTTTTTGTTTTATACTATTTTTAGTTTATTTTTAGTTTTAGTTAGCCGTGGTAGCTCAGATGGTTAACGCTCAGTAACTCGGGTTCGATCCCCGCCGGCACCAATGAAATTGTTAATTGTAATTTTAAGTGTTGATTTACCACGTGCTCGGTGGTGAATCGTGAGGAAACCTGCATGTCTAAGGAATAAGAGAAAAAATATTTCGAAGACATGTGAAGTTCGCCAAAACGCATTGGGGCACCGCGGCGAACACTTCCTTGCCCTAAAACCCTCTCAGAAATGAGGGGAGGCCTGTGCCCAGCAGTGGGACGAATATAGGCTGAAACTTTACTTTTTTTTACTATTTTTACTATAAAACTATCTTCTTCTTCCTGCCATTATCCCAAGTTATTTGGGGATGGCATAACATGTTTTCTCTTTCATACCCCTCTATTAGCTGTCATCTCTTCACGCACTCCTTTGTAACATATATTATCGCTAACACAGTATACCCATCTTTTTTTAAATATCCATCTACTTTCGTAGCCAAAATTATTCTTATTACACCAATTAACTTTAAAATATTGACGAAATAAGAATGGAGCATGTGGTATGCGTGACTTGAAAGCTTTACACATTCTTACCACGCTAAGCAGACCTAGGTGGGACCCAGTACTGTCTTACTATTGAGGCTATTCCTTCACCAGTGTGTAACGGATATTCCGTTTTTCTTGATCTCCTTAACCTAGTTTAGTACCTATTTGTAAAAAAATCTATTACAACCCATATTTTTGTGTGTGTGTAATCAGGTCAGCGTATAAGAAAATATTTATAATATTTTTTTTTTCGTTCCACAAGTGCGTGGAAGTAATTTACAAGGTCAAATTATACAGGATTTAACAAGAGGGTGATTCATCTAAAAAATTCATATCATAATATGAAGAATGAATACGACCTAAATACCTAATAATTACCATCTATAAAACAGTCTTTTACCAAATACTCTGTTCCGTCACCCCATTTAAAGCAACCTTCACCATTCATGCATTTCATAGAGATATTTCCTTCATATATATTTCCGTTTCGAAATCGGATTATTGCTCGTTCGTCTGGTGAAGACCACCAATGCGCAAACATCGATTCCTCCTAACGAAATTATGAAGATGTTATTAATTTTATAATTACAATTTTATTAAAAAACTTTAAGAGAATTGTGAAGCCGTAAATTTTCATACAAAAAGCGATAAAGTTTTCCGTCCCGTAAACGTAGTCTAATTTTAGTAATTATAAATGTTGTAGATATAATGAAAAACTAGGTCCGTACGTTTTTATTAAGAAAATATTGCGTACATGTAAATATCTATATTTTTGACTTAAAAACTTCCTCGATCTTTTGTTTTACATAAAACTAAACTGAATTTCTAAAAAAGAAAAACGTACAGACCTGAATCTAATGAGACCAAAATTATCCCATTTCGTAAAGAATTAGGGGCACAGAAATTGTAATAATCTATGTTTAGGGGGGTGAATACGTTATCGCTCTAAACAATATTTTAAAAAGAAAGGCAATTACTTCTAATATTTGCAACTCTCTCTATCGCACGACGGCGATACGGTGCGAGCGATGTGAAAAAGATGGAAGTTTTGAAAATACCTACTCAAGCCGCGTACTACACTTCACAATCCTCCTAAATATCATATACCTATACCTGTGTTTCGTTAAATAATTCCGTTTTCGATCTCTTTAACTTAGAGTTCTTATCTGAAAATAATAAAAAAACTCTAATATAGGAAAATTGATGTCAATATTTTTATTACTTATTGACTTTACATAGGTAATTACTATCATAATACATAACTAACCTATAGGTTTTTTCTTCTTGGACGGAAATATAAAACTTCCGGACATATTTTCGAATTCTTTGTTTAGATAGTTCTCTTCTATCTTATCTTGACCTATTACCTCCCATGATTCAACGATAATGTTTAACATAGACGCAAACATATATGTGACAATTTCTTTCTGTACCGATCCCTTGGGTCGGTTCATTATGGATACCCTGGACTCACTTCCGACAGTTAATGACGAGTATCTGCCTGCCCTGAGCTGCATATCATAATATGATCGCTTACCTTCGGACAGAGGTCTTTTTGTTAAAGTTAATGAACTATTAAGGCGTGTTACGGTTCTCTGGGAATCCATGGCGTGTAATAAAACAGTACTCCTCTCCTCAGTATTCCTCTCAATAATTATAGAAGCGTAACAAAATATATTATTAGATGTATGTATGTACTTTGAACGTTATTTTTATTTTAAAGGAGGATTTTAGACGTCACATGTACAATACTTGACATCTTACTCTATTATTAATAAAATAAAATACAACCAAAGAGTATAATCACTACGTTTTAGCCATTAAATAATATATACAACTATACGGGCCACTAGCGCACCGGAGGGGAGTAGCCATAGCGTTTTTACCCATTTTTACCTGATATACGTATGTATCTAATTACTCTAAGCCCGATACAGAAGAAGAGGAATCTGCGTAAAAAAAAAACAATCGTTCGTCACTACGAAACTCACAGAGCAATTAAAAAAATATATTATATTAAACCTCAGAGTAATCACTAGCATAGAGGGTATCTTAAAATAAGAACGCAATTCTTGTAGTTGAACTCTTTATGCACATAACGTTTTATATAGTACAAAATGAGACAGTTATATAGTTCTCATCCTATTTCTTTTATAGTATTTTTGGCGTTTTTCACATAGAATACAATAATATCTACACCGTAGACAGAGAATAGGTTTCTCTGTCTACGATCTACACGATAGTACGGAGGCAGTGCCCGTGTGGCTGCTAACACGTCAAAAATGTCAACACTCAACACATCTCTTTTATCGTCACAGTCCAGTCGTTGCCCAAATTTTATGTCAAGCGTTCCAGGGTGCAATTTATTTAAAAAACGCCAATTTGTGCGATAATTACGTGTCGGAAAAATAGCCTGAATATTTATTGATTAAAACTACTTTCACGGATTTTATCGCGTTTTATTTATATTAATTTTAATACCCGACGTTTCGGGTGCTTTCCAGAACCCATGGTCACGTGACTGACGTCCCGATGTCAAAGTTAACCCGGAGTACCTTCAGCTTTTTAATTACTGTCTTTGGTCCGATCTACGCAGAATGAACTAACTGTATTTTGAAGTCTTGCAGTGGTATGCTTGGGTTTAGTTTTAATTTTATTAATTATTGGATCCCAAACAGGTGGTAGTACCCAGCCTCCTTCACTATTGAAATTAGGATGTTTTTTAATTTCGATAGCCTCACGTATCATCCTTGGTAGGAATCGATGTTCTTTCGCGAGGATTTGTGGTCTATCAAATCTGATGTAATGATTGGGGCCATCTAGAATATGATCGCAAACTGCAGACTTCCCGGAACGTTGATGCTTCACGTCAGCTATGTGTTCTTTTACGCGGGTTCTAATTGATCTCTTTGTTTGCCCTATATATGAGAGACCACAATCACAATCAAGCTTGTACAAATTTGAATATTTATATTTTGTGAATATTAATTGAGATATTGGCATTTTGTACGCGAGGTATATAAAGTCAATTTTATTTTGTAAAATATATTTAATTAATCAAAGTATGCACCGTTGTTATCCATGCACTTTGGTCATCTCATAGGTAGTTTATTTATCCATTTACTAAAAAAAACCAAAGGGGCGAGAATCAATAAACTCTTTGAAGGCGGTTTGGACTGCCGCATCAGAGTTGAATTTTTTCCTTGTTGGAGCAAGGTCCGGGGAGTACGATGGATGTCGCAGACATTCCAATTGTAGCTCATCTAACTTAGTTATTGTTTTTTGTACAGTGTGTGGTCTTGCGTTGTCGTGAAGCAACAGTGGCCTAGAACGATTGACCAATCTCGGTTATTTTGCAGTTAGTTCTTCGTTCATGGTTTGCAGTTGCTGACAATAGGTATCTGCCGTAATGGTTTGGCCAGATTTAAAAACGGGAGTAGTGAATTTTCGTTTAGGATAGGATTTGGCTGGGTCTCCAGGGTTCAGCCATTGCGACGAGTGGTTCCGATTATCGTACAGTATCCACTTTTCATCACAAGTAATGATTAGATTTAAAATCCCTTCATTTTTGTGTCGGTTGAGTAAAGTAACAGCAGTCGACGCGTGCTATTCAGGTACCCATCTTCAATTTTTTTTTACTTTCCCGACTGCTTCAAGTGGATTAATACAGTTTTATCACTTACCCCAAAGACTGCAGCTATCTCTGAAGTGCTTTGTGATGGATCCGCTTCCACAATAGCCTTTAATTATTCATTTTCCACTTTGGTCTCCGGCCGTCCACGGAGTTGCTTCTCAAGGACGAAATTTCCAGAACAAAAATGTTGAAACCAAAAATGTACCGTGCTTTCTTATGCGACACCAACGCCGTACACATCATTAATCCATAGAGCTGTTTCTGCAGCACTGGTGCCACGGTAGAACTCGTATTCGTAAATATACCAATATATCATGTTTTCCCTTGTGCGGTATTATTAGTACCGACGCCAAAGAAAAAATAATGAGGAAAAAACAAATGAATGACTGTTTTCGAAACTCAAATGTACCAGCTAAATGAATTTATAAATTTGAATTTGGAATTCTTAAACAAAGAGGAGATATTTCAGATCAAAGTGGTCAGTACGACAAAACGCTAATTTCATATGTAAGGACCCAACATACAACATTATAATGGACGCCACACACGGTCAGTTATAATGATCAGTTGAACTGACGTACATCCAAAAACTGACCGTATGTGGAATCTTAAATTGAAATTTTCAACTGACGACAACCCACGGATTTTTTCAGTCGCACTGTCAGCCGAAACTGCTCAGTCGAACTGATGTAAATCCAAAAACTGATAGTGAGTGCGAAATCTTAAGTTAAAATTTTTAACTGATCTCATCGCACTCCACGGAGTTTTCCGGGCGCACCGTAATCCGCTGGCATCAGTTCGTTTTAATTACTGGTAAGTACCTAATTTCTTAGTAGCTACATACATTATTTATATGCTATTTAGATTTTTATTATTTTATATATTTATAGAATTTCGTTTGGCGGAGGATGAATACTAAGGTGACTGTGATGATGTAACCTTTCTTATGATTGAAGATGGGTAAAGGATCTTAGTGATGCTACGTAGAACCATCGTGTTTTTTTCAACTCATTTACAAAAAGGTTTATGAAGACCTAGATGACTATGATGATATCACCTAGCTGATGGTGGACTCCGAAGGTGGGTATAGGATCTCAGTGACGCCACTAGATAGGACGATCGTGTTTGATTTTATTTGAAAGGGCTCATAAAGACCTAGGTGACTGTTATGATCTCACCTTTTGGATGGTGCAATACGAAGCTGGATATAGGTTCTCAGTGACCATTAGACACCATTAGATGGGACGATCGTGTTTGAACTCATTTGAAAGAGCACATAAAGACCTAGGTGACTATTATGATCTCACCTTTCTGATGGTATAATACGAAGGTGGATATAGGATCTCAGCGACGCCATTTGAAAGGGCACATAAAGGCCTAGGTGACTATTATGATCTCACCATTCTGACGGTGCAATACAAAGGTGAGTATAGGATCTCAGTGACGCCACTAGATAAGACGATCGTGTTTGATCTCATTTGAAAGGGCTCATAATGACCTATGTGACTGTTATGATCTCACCTTTCTTATGTTGCAATTTAAAGGTGTGTATAGGATTTCAATGATGGCACTATATTTATTATTATTAATTTAAAGGAGTCACGCAATTTTATCTGCGACACTTCTAAAAAATTTATGCCCCTAAAGGGGGGAAAACATAAGAAAAATAAAGAAAATTAAACAAAATATAGTGTACCTATGTGTTATGTAACTTAATACAATACGAATAATTTATTATTTTATAAAACTCAACATATTTGATTATCAAACATTACCCCCCACACTAGGATTTTCTCCTGTATCGTGGAGGCAGTTTGCAAACATAATTTGTACAAGGGCAAACATCCAGACCCTCAATTTATTTTTCCCCATTCTGACTGGTAACAAAGCTCAGCTACAATCAAAATAACTATAATAAGTTAACTATCCGGTATTTTTTATGATAGGGTCACAAACGAGCACACCGTCCATCTGATGGTAAGTGGTTACTGTGGCCCATAGACATCTGCATCCATCCTCGATTACGAATCAAAATGCAGATGCGTTGTCACCCGTGAGGACTAAGATGGAATGCCTCGTTTCCAGTAAAAAGGTTACCCGGTTCTTTACAATCACCATACGAAACACAGCAACATTAAGCTACTATTTTACGTGTTATTCTGTGAGAGCGTGGTCCCTCCCTGGTTGAGCCAACCCATTCATGCTACAACTAAACTACTAATATAACTGCAGCATGGCTCTACCACGTATAATAATGATGTGCGAACTTCATACTAATTGAAATATACTGTACGATAGTAAATACTTCCTGCAATCAAAAACTACGGTCGTAATTGACGATGAAAATAGCAGCGCCTATGCGGCGATCGACGCACACTAGGATAGTATCGAAACGACGGAGCGCGCGAAATCATATGACGCACGTCCAACTTCGACAAGCGCTCGCGCGATAGTGAACGCTCTCTATCTCTAGTATATATTCAGTAATCTATGGTGAACGCAAGTAGTTAGTTAGTACCAGTTCTAGCTCACTGAGTCAGAAGTGGTACAACGTTCGTCGACTCACGATCCTAAAAAAAATCACTAATCTGCGGTCCGTTTTTGCGTAGGGTGCACGGTTTCGGAGATGTGCAGATCAATTAACTAATATCTAATTGATATCCGGTGAGGGCCTCCACCGTCATTAGCGTTCCATTGTTCTAATCTATTGTCATTGTCTATACTTCCTCGGCGTGTGCGTCGGCTTATCAGTGCTATTGTAATACTTATACCGTACCGAACCTGATACCGTAACGAACATCAGCCGAGTAACATCCACGT